TCTAGGAACTTATTCTCTAGAATATTTGTCAAGTACAGAAAGATATATTTCCCTGGATGTTAATTCTACCATGGTTTATAAATGACAAATGTCAATTAGTGGGAGGTCATTACAATAAATTATAGCACATACATACAATAGAAAGCTATGCAAATCATTAAAAAAGATATAAAGGAGAGCCACATTATGTTTTTCAGTGAAAGAATCATGTGGCTGAAGTTTGTATTTTTTGTCCAATGTGTGTCACTATATACAACTTTGCCTATTCCTTGCCATATCTGTCTTTTCATGCAGCAGTGATGGGACTTTATAAGAAAGAGAATCCTAAATGAAGCATACTCTTATTTTTTGCATGACACTGATAATGTATCTGCAAATAGACCAGCAATTTAGAAAAATGTTTGTAAGCCTAGTCTGGATGGTACAAGCATGAAGGTCAGCCATTCACTGAAAACATGTTGAATTGAAGTCATCGTGCGTTATTAACAGAGTCCTGCTTAATGACGCACAATGACCTCAATCTAAGATGTTCTAGGAAATACAAAAACCATGGGAGTTATATAAAGTGATTCTTCAAACCTATGGATTTCATTAATTGCATGACTCCAAATTTGATTAGTCTTTTCTCTCATTCCTTTGTCACGTGCTAAATGCTGTAGAATGAAAAAACATAAACATTATTACAGAAAGTGTTCCTATGTTACTAGCTTTAAGTAATTGCTATTCAACTCTGAATAACCCATTTGAAAGAAAAGAAAACACCATTAGTCTGAAATGTCTGCTAACATTTCCTTTCTACTGTGTTAAGATCCATTTAAGGAGAGACTTATCACAGTCATTGTGATTTAGAGGATCACAATCTGATCCTCTAAAAATATTTTATAGTTAAGTTACGCTGATGAAAGTAATGTGTTTACCCAAGAGGCATCACTGACTGACCAAGGAGTAGGAACTCTGTTGTGTGGGGGGAAACTCCAACGGTGAGGCTCTGAGGCTTTCAGCAGAGAATGAAACCTATAACAGCTAGGGTGATGTTCACTCTCTATGTCTACAAAGGCTGAACATGTACACTGTTGTCTAGCATCTTTTGAACTAAATCTAGAACAATGACACCCCCTTTGGACTTTCTTAGATACCCCTAGGGCTTTAAGTTCATCTGATATTTGACAAATGCTCAGCGTAATTTTGGTTCAGAAAATAGTCACTCTAGCCATATCTAATATGAATGGTTAAAACTGGCTCATTATTATGTTGTTATGGAAAGCTGTCTGAGGATGCTGGTTGTTCATCATGCCTACTGTGATTTTGAGTGGAAAATGTGGACTGAAAAGTATTTCACTAGGATGCCAGATATGTCACCTCAAGCAATAACCTACTCTAAGCACTAAAAGAAAAGAAGAATAAATGAAGCAGCCATGGGAAATATATCATGAAAGTATGGCAATCTGGCTGGACCCAAGGAGTGCTTTGAATAGCAGCAAGCTCTGGAAATAGCAGCAGAACTTAGCCCAGTCTGGTGTGTGGGCTGCTGGTCATGCCGTGTGGTCTTTTTGGTAACCTCTGCTCACAAAGGTAGAGTTCAGTGGAACAAGGGACTGTTGTAACGTCTTTCAACCTGGTATTCACTTCTGAATCATTGCATAACATTTGCATGGAATAACACATACCAAGTGTCGAATAGTAACAGGCAAAACCTCAAAGGCACCACAACTTGGACAGGCCTTCAAAAGTACAGCGACTTGGTTGCCTGAATCATAATCTCTTTGATGTAACATCTGGCTGGCAACCCCTTTAAGGATCTCATTTCCCATATAGTCACATCTCTTCCTTGCATAACAATATCCACCCTCAGACACACACAGGCTAATAGCAGAGAAAAATTTCAGAGTCTAAGCTAAACCCCAATTTGTTTCTTCCAGCATCATGGTTCAGCCTTGTGTTTTTACTCCTCAAAAATATTTTAAAAACAAAACAAAAAAGACTGAATAAAGTGAGGTGGCCAGATGGATATCTGGGGGAAAAGTACCCCAGCGGAGGGACCTACAGTGCAAAGGCCCTTTTATTACTACAATCCTAATGTTTTACATATTGCTTGGCATGTCATTGACGATAAACAGTTAAGGAAGGAATAATGAAGAAGGGGAAGAAATTTGTTTGAGAGAATTGGGGCTTAATTATCTGTCATATCTTCAATTCCCAGATTTCCTGCAGCATGAGTCAACTACTAACCCAGTAAGCAACAGAAAATTTCACATCATTTTAAGAAAGGCAGTAGGGCAATCTTGTTTCTACTGCCAGCAACACCCAGGGATGGCAGCAGCAGAGAAAGGTACAAAACATAATTTAGAGGTTAAGAACAACTTGAGCAATGAGCTAGAAATCCTAGTTGTGAAGGCAGACCCACAAAGTGGAGCATCAGGTTGTGAATTCTATGATTAATGGCTCCACAAAGGGAGAGATTTTTAAAAAGAGAATAGTTTGTAAGTATCTTCCTAGTCTACCTGTAGGCCCCTGACCAAATCTATCTGATGATAAAAATAGTATTTCCACAATCACAGGTCAATACTCATGGGTCTCCATTCCTCCATTCTCTGTTAAATTTCTGGCCTTCCTCAAACTCTTCATGCAGAGCCACTGATACACTCAACGAGCATCTATGAGCCACCACTAATAGGTGCCAGTCATGGGATGAGGAATACAGCTGTGGGCAGAATAGTCATACGCCCTTCTGTGAGGAGCTGATAATGCAGTGAAGGGTTCTGGGCTCTCCCAGAGCTTGTGTCATTTGTCTTCCGAGTGCCAGTGCTATTGGCTCTAAGAGCATCCACTGCTCTTCTTTCCTTGTCCCATTTTCCTTGGGGATGGCCCCTACCCTTAGCTGTATCCAACCAGCTCTGCTGCGGTCAGTGCCCAGCAGTCACACTGCTCCTCTGATGGTGCCCATCAAACTGCTCCAAGGCTGGTTGTGCACCTGTTAATCTATTTCCTGAGAATACTCTTGCCTCTAATCTTAATAAAACATCATATACATTTGTGTTACATTAGGAGTACAAACATTAGAGTTATGTTTAGAAATAACTCTATGAAGGTTTTTATATTTTATTTTCACATTGAAAATCAGTCATATTTGCTTCAGCCTCGAAGAGCATGTTTATGTAAATTAAATGAGCACTGTAAATTAAAGCTGCACTTGTTTTAAATGGGAACTAGGAAATGGGCTGAAAATATGGAGGACCACGCTCCGGCTGCCATTAGCTGAGGAAGTCAAAGCCATTGGAGGCATTTCTCATGGTGGCAGAAGATGCCAGCACCCATGTTGGTGGCATCTTATCCTCTCTGTGGCCCATGAAGACTTTTGTCAACAGCCTTCGCAATGAGCAACAGTCCTTCTCTCAAGAAGTTCACATTTGAGGCCAGGCACAGTGGCTCACACCTGTAATCCCAGATCTTTGGGAGGCCGAGGAGGGTGGATCATGAGGTCAGGAGTTCAAGACAAGCCTGGCCAAGATGGTGAAACTCTGTCTTTACTAAAAATACAAAAAATTACTCGGGTGCAGTGGCAGGCACGTGTAATCCTAGCTAGTCGGGAGGCTGAGGCAGGAGAATTGCTTGAACCCAGGAGGTAGAAGTTGCAGTGAGCCGAGATGGCACCACTACACTCCAGCCTGGGTGATAGAGCAAGATTCCATCTCAAAAAATAAGTTCACATTCTAGAGGGAAAAAATTGGAGAAAGATATATATATATATATATATATATATATATATATATATATATGTATCATGTGTATATATTATATATATATATATATAAAATGAGCTCCCATCAGCTAGTGGTGACCATTATTAAGAAGAAAAACAAAAACAAAGTACAATAAGCAGACAGAAAGTGATGGTAGAGATTGCTTTTATATAGTGATAGGTAGGGGCCACTCTGACAAGGGGGCCTTTGAGCTGAGACTGAATAAAGTGAGGTGGCCAGATGGATATCCGGGGGAAAAGTACCCCAGCGGAGGGACCTACAGTGCAAATGCCCTGTCGTAGGATTGCACCTGACTTCTTCAGGCCACCCCTAGAAAGTGAATGTGTGCGATCAACATGAACGCGGAGGAAATGAGGTCAGGCAATGAAGGAGGTGGATTTCATAGGGTCTTGCAGACCTTGAGAAGGGCTTGGTGCTTTCTTCTGAATTAGGTAAGAAACCATTGTAAGAGTTTGCACAGAAGGACAGCATAATCTGATCTCAGTTGTAGAATTATTACAGACTGGCTGGGGTGTCGCAAATAGATTGAAGGGTGCCGAGAGGGAGATATTTGGGGGTAGGCGAAAGGTGACGGTAACCTGGGTAAAGTTAGCAGTAGTAGTGGGGTTGGAGAGCATGCTTGGACTCAGAATTTGCTTGGTGTTGGACATGAGGTGGGAGGAAAAAGCAGTTAAGGATGATTCCAGGAGTTTTAGCCTGAAAAACTCTAGAAATAATGCTAGCTATCTTTAATCAGAATGTGAAAGTCTAAGGGGAAGAAGGCTTATGGAGCAAGATCAGAACTTCAGTTATGGACATGTTGATTTCAGATGCATATTAAACATCCCGTGGAGATACTGAGTAGGCAGCTGATCACGCAGGTTTGGATCACAGGAAGACATCTGGACCAGGGATTTGACATTGGGAGTGTTCATCTTATAAGTTCATTGGACTAAGTGAAATCAGTGAGGCACTAAGCATTAATATTAAATAGATAAGAGAGAAATTCTGAGGACTTCTTCTGAAGGATCCTGGAGACTTGAAGCATCAAGAGCTAAAGGAGAGCGTGTTTAAAAAAAAAAAAAAGAAGAACCCTAGTAGGAGTAGCCTGTGAGAGTACTAACCTGAAAGCACAATGAATAAAGTGTGTCAAAGAGGAAAGAGTGGTCAACTGTGCCTAATGCTTTTGACACATAGAGGAAATTGAATGTAGGGGTCGACTAAGAATTGAAGACTAGCATTGTCAATGTGGAGGTTATTGATAGGTGAACAATTAGTTTATTTTCTAAACTGGGACACTTTTAAGAGTAAAAGAGGATATGTATTACTAATCTATTTCTGTATAAAAAATTACCCCCAAAGCTCAGCGCTGTGTTAACACAGCAAACATTTATTATCTCCTACAGTGTAGGTGGGTATAGAATTTGGAAGTGGCCTTGCAGAACCATTCTGGCTCAGCACCTCTCATGAGATGGCAGTCATATATTGGCTGGGACTGCAGTCATCTAAAGGCTTCACTGGGGCTGTGAGATCTGTTTCCAAGGCGACTCAGTCGCATGGTTGAAAGTTAGTGCTAGCTGTTGGCAAGGGCTTCAGTGCCTCCCCACATGGGCCTCCCACAGACAGCTTGAGTATTCTAACAACATGGCAACGTCTTCCCCCAGGTCAGGCAACTGAGAGAGCAAGGCTGAAGTGGTTACTCATGTCAGCCCTACTCAGTCTGGAAGGGGTCCCAGAAGAATGTGAGCAATTGGAGGCTAGGATAATTAATTGAGAGCCATCTTCAAGGAGGACTACAGCAGGGTGTTATCCATAGTTGTGCTCAGGTAACACATACACACTGGGACCATCTCAGGCAAACTGAGGTGCATGGTCACCCTAATCTTTGGTGACTTTGGGTAGAACAGTTTCAGGGGAGTGTAGTAATAGATATGAGAACCACATCAATGAAATCCAAGCCCAGCTCTATTGCTCAATCACTCAATTTAAAAATGAGCTTATTTCTCATTTCTTTCCACTAGACCTGAAGCTGGTAGAATGGAGAATATGATGGATGCTTATTTTGCCATTAACTTGGAGTCCAAGAATAAAGCCAACAGAGAGTTAAGCAGAGGTGAGATGGAAATTTAGATTAGATTTAATTAGATTTATTATCTAATAACATTGTTTTAGTACTTGTATCCAGTCAAACTAAAGCTCACATTAACTGTAACAGTCATCACATTCTCTCCCAACCCCCTTTAAAAATTTTAAGTTAGACTTTTTAAAAAATTTACAACCAAAGTAATTCAAATTAATAGCTCCATTATTTAAGTAGATTCTTATTGAACACAATCTACTGATCTCCCAGATACACTTGGCATGTCTGAGTGCAGGGTCAACATAGTTTAAACTCCATCTGGTCTCCCTGGTACACTAAGAAGGCTGTTAGGGTCATCTCCTTTAAGTTAAAGTTCTTAACTTTAACTTGCACTAGCATCTTAGGTGGATTTCATATGTAAGAGTATATATTGACATTGAGCTGATATCAGTATTTGAGCAACCATAAAAGTCAATCTTCAAGATGGACAATGACACAGGTACTTCTTTAGAAATATCTTTACTCTGAAACATTGAGGGATCTTCCTTAAATCATTCCAGTAGCAAAAGCCTTGCCCTGAAAACTGTTGCCAGAAGAGTAGCTGGACCACCCATCTGGAACCAAATCGAAGTTCATCTCTATAAAGGAAAAGAAAAGATCTGTAAATTGCATGCTAGTTGCTTTCTTTTATGTTACCTTCTAGCCACCCTTCAACTTCTTGTTTCCTTTAGTCATCCAACAAGAACAGAACTAGATGTTCATACAGCCTCTCAGGATTTATTCTACATCTATTTTGAATGGAAAAGTGTTTAAAACTCTGTAGGTTTCAGGGACATAGAAGAGAGGCTAGAGGTGAATAGAAAAAGACAGCAGTGGCTGTAGCTGGCCTATGGAGCTCTCTCCTGCTGGAGGTTATCCCACACTGAGGACTGGGGACTTGCAGCCATCTGGAGGTTACTGTAGATCAGTGCGTCTTGGGAATGCACATGCAGAGGCATAGGACTGAGCTGTGCATGTAGAAAATTGAATGTGTCCATTGATCCGCTAAGCCTAAATAAACTCTCATTCTTGTTAGCACAGCAATTAGTCCTCGTGGTCACTGGAGCATTGAAACAAGGCAGTTTGGCCCGCTTGTCTTGTTTTCCTCTGTTCTCAACATGAAACACATCCAGATTGGGACAGAAAAAATCCTCCTTAATTTTCAATCACCACCCGCTTGAATTAAAAAGCAGACTGAGAAGAAGGAACAGCATGGAGGTGACATTTAATCTCAAGATCTACCCACTGCTGTTGTTCAATGTTAGCTTGGTGCTTTCAAAGAACACAGCATGTCCTGGACATCCACATTTTTTATACATCATCTCACTTAATCCTCACAAGTGAGATTTATATAGCAGCCTCTCTTGCAGAGGCACAGTTCACACAGAGTACATGTATGTGTATGTGGTAGAAACACTGGGATGGGAAAAATCTGCTAATGGATTGAACCTAGAGGAAAGAACCAGCAGAGCCAAGTCGTATTCCCAGATCCACCACAAGATCATTTGTGCCTCAGTTTCCCTTAAAACACAATTGACAACATTGAGGTAAGCAGATGACATGTGTTACCATGTTTGATGTAGAACTCTGAGCTTTCCATGGAAAAGTGTTTAAAATGCATGGTATGACAGCAGTTGAGTAGTCCCTTCACACTCAGGCCTACCCAGCGGGGGTGTGGAGAATAATGTGAATTGAGCCCACTGCTGTCTCTGTGCAGTTCAATGTTCCCAGATGGCATATTCAATTAGAGTTTATTTTAACATCTTAAATGAAACTTATTGAGAAATGATATTCTACACTCAACAAAGGGAAAAAGCATATCAACATCATATAGACATGTGATTTCTAAAATGGTGTTACTCTTCCATATCTCATGGCATAGAACCTGCCATAACTCTCCCAGTCACACTTAGAGAAAAAGACAGGGTCATGTCCTCTTTTGAGTGTCAGCTTCTCCCACTTAAGCAGGGTGTCTCAGCCAGCCTTGGCACTATTGATATTTGGAGCTGAACAAATTTTCAATGGGGCAGGGTGGCTGTCTTGTGCATTGAAGGAATGTTTAGCAGCACCCCTGGCCTGCATCTGCCAGATGCCAGTACAACCTCCACCTCCCCACCTCACCCCCAGTAATGTCTCCAAGGATTGCCAACTGTCTCCTAGGAGTGAAATCACCTCTGGTTGAGAACCACCACCTTACAAAATGCATAGTAACTGAACTACATCGCTTGTTTGAATTAGGAGCTCTAGAGGGCTCAGTGATCATTCACGCAATCATCCATTTTACAGATGGAGGCACTGAAGCCAAAGAAATGTGGTGCCTTCTTTTAGGTAACACAGTTAAGTGGCATATCTGTCATTAGAAACCCTACTGACTACTCCCTGACTACCTTATCTAAGTCTTATGAACAGCAAAAAAAAAAAAAAAAGAAAAGGAAAGGAAAGGAAAACAAATTCTATTATCATCTACCTGATCAGCACAGTCTATTTGAAGAAAGCCCACTGAATCTAAACGGGTTAGACCTAGATTTAGTGGGTTAAAACTGAAATTACTTTTTCACCACCCCAGTAAGTAGGTACAGCTGTAGTTCTGGAATAGTCAATAGAATGTTTGGCAAATTGAAAGAAATGGCAAAAACGGCAATTACTTTTGCACCAACCCAATATTACAGGTGTAATCCAAGCTCCTTTGATGTCATCCTGATTTAGGCAAAATAACCCTCTATCAATTTTTTACCTCCTTCTCCTTAGCTCCACTTTTGTATCCCCTCTAGTCCTTGGAGAAGCTGTGCTGTATCTAGAACACACAATCACTGAGTAGGTTGTAAGGTCGAACATCTTCAAATCCTCTAATGAGCTCCATAGCCTTACACAAGCCAACACATTGCTGAATGTCATGAGGGAAGTCGGTTGGTCTCTATCACTGTGCTTCCTTCTTCAGCTCACTTGATTTTCCTTTCTCTGCCCTTAGAGTCATCCATCCCCTTCCATGTACAAAATTCTCATTCACCTTCAACCAAAAAATCCTAGAATGGCCCCTGCTGTCAGAAGATCCATGCCCTCCAAATCTGAACGGATCATAGACATTTTAGCTGAAGATTCCTTTCTTCTTTAAGTATGTCCACCAAATTCTTGACCTTGCCCAAGAATCAACAGGTAATGTCCTGAAAAAAAGGAAAGAGAGAGAGAAAGAAAGAGACAGAAAGGGAGATAGAAAGAGAGATAAAAAAGAAGAAAGAAAGAAAGAAAGAAAGGGAGGGAGGGAGGAAGAGAAGAGGGAGGAAGGAAGATTGTTGAGTGCACAAATGTGGTGACATAGATAGAACTGACACGCAGGGTATTTATTCAGGACATTTCGGGATATAAGATGTGACTATCAAGTAATGAATGGATTTTCACTTCAGACTTACAGAACCAGGTCTCATTACTCTGTGGGAACCAGAGATTTCAGATACTATCCTTGGGCTTGAAATTACCTCTTCTTATCCTCTAAAACACAGGTCAGTTATTTGCAAAAATCTTCTCCGATTCTATCTCAGTTGGATATAAATGCTTTCAGACTAAGGCCTGATCATAACACATCGATTGTCCTTAGCAGAGTCTATTTTTCTGAGTTGCAATTAGACGCTCTCCAGGAGCAAACAGTGAAACATGCACAGGGTATCCTGCTGTAATTACTCCAAATTTACAACAACATTTAAAAAGAATTTTATATAAATAATGATACTGCATAGAATTTCAGAATAATCAATTCTCATAGATGATTTTAATTGTGCTGTCAAATAAATAGCAATTATTTTTTTCTTTTGACTTAACAAATTCTATTTTCAGTGTTGGTGATGATGACTTCTCAGATACCATGGAGAAATGTTTACCACACCTGGCACACAGATGCTTACACACCATTTTTCAAAAGTAGGTACCTAGATTTCCCTTGTCCCACTTCCATGCCCTGCTGAGAATGATGTTTCCTGCGCTTCACCCCATCCTCACATTCCATTGACCATCCCACTTACACCTCTGGGCTTACAGATCTTGGGAAGCTGCTACAGGAGGGCTGGGCTATGGGAAAGCATGAGTCCCATCCTCAAGGATCTTACAGTCTGGTGAGGACCAAAGGCAGGTAACTCAGTAATAACAATACACAGTAAAAAGTGGGCAGGAACCCCCAGGGAAGGCTGCTAATCCCATCTTGGTAATTGCCCTCGCTGAAGAGAAACCTTCACAGGGAAAAAACATCCAAGTCAAAATTTAAAGGTGAGTGGTTCAAGCAAGGTGAGGTGGAGGGAAAGTGTCCCATGTAGAAGTATGAGGAACAGAGAATGTCAAGAAACCTCTCAGAACATCACATCCCTTCTGATGCAACACGTTCCATATATCAGCAACTGGCTTAAATGGTTTGTTCTTAGACATGCCTTTTGGACAACATGATATCAGGGCAAGGAGAAAGTCCCCCGAACTTTCCAAGACATCTCCCTGTCTATTCAGTATTGCCTGTAATTAACTGAGATCACAGATATGCCTTCCTATAGTTAGAAATGCCTCTGGAGAGTTCATGTCTTTCTACACCAAAGAATATAAATGGTGATGTTAGCGCTCTAGTTTCCCAAAGACAATGATTCTTAAACATTAAAGGGCATAGAAATTACCTGGGTAGGCTATTTAAAAACCGGGTTTGGATATTTATACAACCATATACATAGCAGCATTATTCACAATCATCAGAAGGTAAAAACAACCCAAATATCAATTGATAGATGAATGGATAAGCAAAATGTGGTCTATCCATAAAATGGAATATTATTCCATCTTAAAAAGGAAGGATATCTTGTCAGATACTACAACATGGCTAAAACTTGAGGACATGATGCTCAGTGAAATAAGCCAACCACAAAAGGACAAATGCCTACAGGAAGTACTGAGTAGTCAAATTCATAAAGACAAAAAGTAGAATGGTGGGTGCCAGGGCCTGGGGAGAGAGGAATGCAGGGTTGCTGTTAATGGGCATAGCATTTCCGTTTGGGAAAATGGAAAAGTCCTGGAGATGCAGTGATGGCTGCACCACCATGTGAACCTGCTTAATGCCTCTGAACTGTACACTTAAAAATGATCAAGATGTGATAAATGTTAGGACATTTACCACAATAAAAAACAATACTGAAAAAGAAAAAAATAAGCATGTTCCTGGGGTCTGCTGCCAGACAGTCCAATTCAATAGGTATATGTTAAGGAGGTACCAGAGAGGTACATTTCTTTAATTTCAACTTGAAGAAATTAAAAAAAAATGATACAGGATGTGAATGGAAAAATCTCCAGTAAAATATATAGCATAAATAAAAATCAATCACAATTTTTGGAAATGAAGGATACACTAGCAGAAATGCAAAAGGCACTGGAAAGTCTCAGCTATAGAATTGAACAAGTAGGAGAAAGAAATTCAGAGCTTGAAGAAAAGCCTTTTGAATTTACTCAATTCAACAAAGACAAAGAAAAAAGAATTGTAAGAAATGAACAAAGCATCCAGGAAGTTTGGAATTTTGTAAAATGGCCACATCTAAGAATAGTTGGTGTTCTTGAGGAAGAGGAAAAATCTAAAAGTTTGTAAAACATATTTGAGAGAATAATTGAAGAAAATTTCCCCAGCCTTGCTAGACATCTAGACATCCAAATAGAAAAAGCTCAAAGAATACCCAAGAAATTCATCACGAAAAGATCATCATTATGGCACATAGTCCTCGGGTTATCTAAAGTCAAGATGAAGGAAAGAATCTTAAAAGCTGTGAGGCAAAAGCATCAGTAACCTATAAAGGAAAACCTATCAGATTAATGGCAGATTTCTTTGCAAAAATTCTACAAGCTAGAAGCTATGGGGTCCCTATCTAGCCTCCTTAAACAAAACAATTATCAGCCAAGAATTTTGTATTCAGTGAAACTAAGCTTCATAAATAAAGGAAAGATACAGTCTTTTTCAGACAATCAAACGCTGAGAGAATTCACCACTAGGAAGCCACCATTAGAACAACTGCTAAAAGGAGCTCTAAATCCTGAAACAAATCCTTGAAATAGAATCTCCTTAAAACATAATATAATGGGACCTATAAAACAATAACACAACGGAAAAAGAAAGCAAGGTATTCAGGCAACCACTGGCATGATGAACAGAATAGTACCTCGTATCTCAATGCTAGTGCTGAACATTAATGACCTAAATGCCCCACTTAAAAGATACAGAAAAGCAGAATGAATAATAATTTGCCAGCCAAGTATCTGCTGTCTTTGAGAGTCACCAGACATGTAAGGACTCACATAAACTTAAGGCAAAGGGGTAGGAAAAGATATTCTATGCAAATGGACACCAAAAATGAGCAGGAGTAGCTACTCTTACATCAGACAAAACAACAGCAGTTAAAAACGACAAAGAGGGACATTATATAATGATAAAGGGACTAGTCCAACAGGAAAGTATCACAGTCCTAAATATATATGCAGCTAACACTGGAGCTCTTAATTTATAAAAAATAATCACTACTAGATCCAAGGAATGAGATAGACAGCAACACAATAATAGTGGGGGACCTTGATTACTCCACTGACAGCACTAGACAGGTCATCAAGACAGAAAGTCAACAAAGAAACAATGGACTTAAACTATATCCTAAAACAAATAACAGATATCTATAGAACATTCTATTCAACAACTGCAGCATGTACATTCTATTCATTAGCACAAGGAAATTCTCCAAAATAGACCATATGATAAACCACAAAACAAGTCTCAACAAATTTAAGAAAACTGAAATTATGTCAAATACTCTCTCAGACCACAGGGGAATGAAATTGAAAATCAACTCCAAAAGGAACCCTCAAAACCATGCAAGTACATGGAAACAAAATAAGCTGCTTCTGAATAATCACTGGGTCAACAATGAAATCAAGATGGAAATGTCAAAATTCTTTGAACTGACCAATAATAATGACACAACCTACCAAAGCCTCTGGAATACAGCAAAAGCAGTGTTAAGAAGAAACTTCCCAGCATCAAATTCTACATCAAAAAGCCTGAAAGAGCACAAAGAGATCATCTAAGGTCACGCCTCAAGGAACTAGAGAAATAAGAACAAACCAGACCCAAACCCAGAAAAAAAAATAACCAAGACCAGAGCAGAACTAAATGAAATTGAAACAAACAAACAAAATACAAAAGATAAATCCTCAAAAAATACTTTTGCAGGCCCCCCCCCCCGCGCCCCCCCCCAACACATCTTGAAGACACTCTCTTGGGAGAAGGAGCCAGAACGCCTGGAAGCACTGTGCAGCCAGGAGTGAAGACGAAGATGGAAGTGGAGTAGACTGAGTTGGTAGAAGGGGTGCCAAACACTATGTCACAACTGTGATCCACAGAGTGGTGCCATTTCTCCCCTTCAGTTCCCAAACAGAATCTATATAGGACGTCACCTTTGCATAGTGCATCACTTCAGCAGGCTCTGAACTGCAAAGCATGTAACTACGGTTTCTGTGGACAAGCAAGCGCCCAAAATAGATTTATGTGTCTGAGAAAGTAAACAATCTCTCCTTTGCAGACCCAAATGTGACACGGAGTATACTAAAATCATGAGCATATACTCTGGTTCCTCTTCAGATGGTATAAATCTTTTGCCTTTTACTAAAACCATAAACATCATTGTTCTAAAGACTGCATCCACTGTCAGGTGATCACTCAGATTAAGTCATAAGCCTGCATATTTCTGAGAAAGTCAGATGCAACACTTTGTAATGTGTACAACTCAAACAAATACATTGTTTAACTTGGGCAAGTAAGGAGTAGCTAATTTAATAAATGAGAAATTCTGTGAAGTTTAAGGTTTTTAACATGCAATAGGCATGAATTATACAATAACAGGATTCATTCTTTTTTGTTTGTTTTTTTCAAGACAGAGTCTCTCACTCTGTCATCCAGTTCGGAGTGCAGTAGTACAATCTCAGCTCCCTGCAACCTCTACCTCCTGGGCTTAAGCAATTCTCCTGCCTCAGCCCCTGGAGTAGCTGGGATCATAGGCGTGCATCACCATGCCCAGCTAATTTTTGTATTTTTAGTAGAGACGGGGTTTCACCATGTTGGCCAGGCTGGTCTCGAACTCCTAACCTCAAGTGATCCACTTGCCTC